ATGGACGCTGGACTTGCCAACGCCCTTTCCATCAACCCACTTTTGCGACAAATCAGTGGGCTCGCCAGGAAGAGCCGCTGCAGAAGCTGCAGACATGATCAGAGGTACGATGATATGCGTACAGTCTTACTCCAACAGGAGCTCACACAAATCACAAGCGCAACTCACGGGAAAGCGCAAGTGAGCCCAATGCTAGAGCAACCGGAATTGCTAGGGCAATGGGCCGTGGCTTTCTCCTCCTTCCTTTCCTCCCCCTCCCTCTCCTTTTCCTGGTCGTCGTCGTTGTTGTTGCCTCCCCCTCCCCTCTCCCCCTCTTTCGCTTCCCCTCTCTCCTCCTCCCTTCCTTCTCTCGCTCCTGTTTTGTTGGCTCCTGCCGGGCTGGCATGTGCCAGGCGACAGTCGAGCAGCGTTACTTTTCAAAGTATTTTGTCCTGCGCCCTGCATGTGTTGCCAAGCGACGCAGTGCAGTTCGATATTCTGTCATGTCAGTGGTGAATCGTTGTTGCGTTGCCGAGGCTTTTAAACATAATCAAAAATAATTGAACATATTTTGAAACATGCTAACCATAACATACAAAGTGTTGGTTTTCTTAGCTTTTCTCGAGCTGTAGGAGAGCTACAGAGCTGGCAGGCACACGTAATGCACCTAGAATCATCAGGCGCGTTCGTCTCAAGTATCTAGATGTCTGAATTCGGTCTGTTTGACTTGGGCCCGCAAACCTACTCGTTCTCTGTTTTTTTGGTTGAGATGCTAATGCGTTTTTTGACTTAATTCGAGCTGGAGATGAGATGCAGAGCTGTTTGGCGCAGCAAACGGCAGAACACTATCAGGCGCTAGTCGTAAGTATGTAGATGCCCGAATTCGGCTTGTTATGGGTCAGAACAATGATTCGTGCACAGCAGTTTTTTTAGAGATGGTGATGGTTTCCCGATTGAATTCGAGCTAAAGACGAGGTACAGAGTTGGCAGGCACATCTGATGCATGTAGAATCATTCGGCGTTTTCGTCTCAAGTGTTTGGATGTTTGAATTCGGTCTGCTACCATAACTGGGCCCGCAAAAGTATTTTTTCCCGGAGATGATGATGAGTTTCTTGACTTAACTCGAGCTGCAGATTTGCTACAGAGCTTTTTGACAAAGCAATCGGACGACCATCATCATACGCGCTAGTTAAACATATGCAAATGCCTGAGCTCGGTCTGCTACCAGAGCTAGGTCCGAAAAACTATTGGTATTTTTTGTTTGGAGATGGTGATGGTTTTCTCGACTGAATTGGAGTTGGAGGTGAGCTACATAGCGGTTTGTCAAGCAATCGAAGGGAAATAATCAGGAGCGCTAGTCTCAAGTATCTAGACGCCCGAATCCGGTCTGCTACCAGAGCTGGGTCCGACAAATTATTCGTACCCTGCTAAATTTCTAGAGAGATGATGAGCACTTCCTTGAGATAATTCGAGCTGCAGATGAGCTACAGAGCTGTTAGGCACACCAATCGGGAAGGAATCATCCGACGCGCTAGTTTCAAGTATCCAGATGCCCGAACTCGTCACGCTTCCAAAGTTGAAAGAACACTAGTCGTACTCTACAATTTTTTCAGAGATGACGATACCTTCCTTGATCCTTCCTCTCCTTCTTTTCTCCTGCTCCTGCTCCTCTCCTCCTTCTCCTTCTCACCCTCCTCCATCTCTTTTCTCCTCCCTCCTTCTTCTCTCCAGTTCTCCTCCATGAAACCGCACTCTCGCGCGCGCGGAATGCGAGATTGCCGCGCCCGCATTGCGCGAGGAAGCTCTACGAGTTCCCGGCGGTAACCAAGGTTGGCGGTTCACCGCCGGCTCGCAGTGCGGGCTGCGCCGCTGTGACATTAAGTGTAGCTTCGGGGATCTCTGTGGGGCCACGAAACGTGTGAAGGGTTTACCGAAACGAAAGCGTCGCCCACATGCGGGCGGTGCCACTGGGGCCTTTGGTTGATTCCCCCCCTGAGACCACGAAGCGCGTAAAGGATGTGCCGACATGGGGTGTGCCCACATGCGGGCTATGCCACCGCGGCGTGGGCCATAAATTGTTGAGGGGGCGCGCCAACACGGCGTCGTCCGTATGCAGGAAACGCCGCTGTGGTCTTACTTGGAATTCTTATTCGATGGAACTCCCATTTAGCCATGAAACGTGTGAGATGTGTGCCGAACCAGAAGTTTCGCCCATATACTGGCTTCGCCACTGGCCTTCGTTGGAACTTTCCATTGCCATGGAACGTGTGAAGGATGTGCCGAAACGGGGCGTCGCCCACGCAAAAGCGACGAAGAGGCGACGACGAGCACGACGTGAAGAACGTGAGGACAGCGAGTGGAGAGGACAACAAAATGGAGAGAAACACAAGAACGAGAGCGAAGAGAACGAGAGCGACCACAAAAAGGGAGGACGATGACGACAACGACCACGACGACGACGATGAAGGCAATTCTGCTTACCGGCAAGCAAGAAGCAACAGGACTCGTAGACTAGCGGCGAAGCTAAGCGCTGATAGCCAGTGAGCCCGAAAAAGACTGACCCATGTTTTACATGATTTTGGCTGGTTCAAAATTTATCTCTCGAAATTTAACAAGTCGTTAATACCCTCATACTTGTTCCCCCCTCATTCCTGCGCCATCTTTATTTGAGATCGATCGAATAGATACTACTGTAAGAAAGCATCTGGGCGGGATCGGCTGTAAGTGTCATATTCAGGGTTGCTGTCCGTTTTCTTATGATCTACCAGGCCGTTCGGCGAAACAATCGAAAATATTTAATGAAGAACGTTAGTCTTACGTATCTAGATGTCCGAACTTGGTTTGCTACCAAAGTTGGAGCAACAAAACTATTCGGACTCAGCGAATATTCAGAAAAAAATAAAATTCTTCTCTTAACTACACACTCCTCACACGTCTTGGGTCCCGGCGACATCCCCGTTTTGGCATATTCTTCACACGTTTATGGAACTCTACCCAAGGCCATGGTGCATCCCGCATGTGGGCGACACTTCTGTTTCGGAACAACCCTTGCACGTTTCGTGCTCCCATGGGGAGCTCCAGTTTTGGTATCAGTGGCGCAGCTCGCGTGTAGGCGACACCTTCGTTTCGGCACACACGTCACACAGTTTCTGGCCCCACAGGCAACTCTGCCAAAGTCGGCGCACCCCTCACTCGCTTTGAAGGCCCCGGCGACACATCTCGCATGCGGGCGTTGCCCCATAGAGAGTTTCACATAAGACGGAATTCACAATTGCAGGAATTCATAATTGCATACGGGCGGGTTCTTTGCCAGGCTAATTTGATTCTCATCCATCTCTTGTTTCGTCCTTGCCCGCCTGTCGAGCACGTTTTGGTGGCCCTTGTTCGAGATTTCATTTTCTCTATTCTGTTGGATGCATTTTTCCAAGTACGTGTGTGACAGGGAGGAGATAATCTGCGGGGTCCATTGCCAAACAAATGCCAGCCGTTTTGTGTTGGATCGCCCAGGAGAGTTGTCAGAGCCTTCCAGGACAGACGGGCTGAAGCGGAGAGAATCATGGAGGCGTTGGCCAGCGCAGATTCATGCCATTATCTACGTTTTCCCCTGATTCCTCCTATCAGCTTGCAGTCCGCTCAAGCCGAGCGCCTGCTCCTTGAGGAGCGCCTCCCAGCTTTTGCCTGGCCCCACTGGTCCAAGGGCCGCCCATGCCACCTGGCGTTTGCTCTTGTAGCCCTGTGCTTCCAGAGTAGGTTGACACTATGTGCCCCAAATTGAGCCTTGGTGCCTGGAAAACACTGCTTGCCACCGGATTTGGGAGCCGCCACCGCTAGTTTATGCCAGTAGCTCCTGCTATGGTTGTCCCCAGCCCTGGTGGTTGTGGATGCCACGAGTTTCTGTTGGTTCTCGTCAAGGTTCCAAAGCTACATACTGGTGCGCCACTACGCCCCGTGAGTTTTTGCCTGGCTCCGCTATCCTTGGGTGCTGGCAGCATTGGTATATGCCGCAGGATTTGCCCTTACTGAGCCATCACGTTAGCTTCAGTGACCCCAGTGCTGCCAGTGCTGGTTTAACTAGTGATCTCCACGAACTTTTGCCCAGCGGGTGCCGCCAGCGCTGGTTTCTGCCACTATGGCCTAGCAGTTTATCATTCGCCCCACCAGCCCTGGGTAACCCCGAACGTCAGTGTGAGCCTTTGGCCTCTGCCGAGCCCTTCAGGCTCTGGGCTTTTCCAGCGTTGGTTTACGCCATGAGCTCCGTTAGCCCCATAAGGCGCTGCCTGACCATCTTGGCCCGTGTGCCGCCGATGCCAGTTTGGGCCTCCCGCCCATGCTTTCACCTCGCCCTATTAGGCGTGGGTCGCCATGGCCAGCTTGCGCTAGCAGCCCACCTGAGTCCTTGCCTGGCTCATTGCCAGCGCTGGTGTGCGTATTTTTTTCGACATCTCCGGCCCACTAACCTGAGTACGATTATTTGTTGCCACCGCCGTTTGGTGCCGCCAGCTCTTTGGTCAATATTGTTTTCGTATACCTGAGTACGATTATTTGTTGCCACCGCCGTTTGGTGCCGCCAGCTCTTTGGTCAATGCTGTTTTCGTACTCGGTCTATTGGGCCATAGTGCGTCAACGAGAGGCCAGTGCTGCGATTCGAAGGCAAGATGATGGTTGGATTTCGGCTTGTGCTTTTAAGCGGCTTCTGTTTTCAATGTTCTAATCTTGGTGTTCACGGGTCGACAGGGTTTCGTCGTGGCAGTTGAAACGAGGCATATTTTGGAGGACTTGATGTGTTGGAGCATCCGAACAGACTCATCAGTGCATAGTATGCTTGAGCTCAACGCCCCTTGAGGATTTCTTGTTGCTTTTTGTCCACTCTCATTAGCCGAGATTGTTTGGCATGTTGTCCCACACATTTATGTGATTGACATATTGCAGAACGTATAGTAGACTCGAAATTCCCAGATCGGTTTTGTGCGAATGCTGCTTTTACAGTCTGACCTCTGCGGTGTGAACCCAGTCAGCCCAGGGGTGCTTGCAGCCCGCCGTTCAAGCTGATGAACTGCTTCCATCTGTTCTTCAGTGAGGACCGGAAGGCTTAGAGCCTCGGGAGTGGCTCGCACTAGTCGGGCGCGGCGACAGTCTCATCGGAGCATGCTGCGGGTCAAAAGCTTACGCATGGTTCGCTCAAGTTCATGAGTGCAGTGGAATATTGAGTGCGCACTCGCCGTCGACAGGATCGAGGAGAAGGATCAAGTGGGAATCGGAGTAGGAGGATGGAGAGGAAGTTCGTGTTGCGAACCTGTATAGCTGTGCATTTAAATAGTCTCTGATGCAAGGTGAGGCCGACTAAGGTTGCCCGAGCATGGTTCACGCATACACGCGCGTACACACATTTATGTGTGTATATATATACACATATAGGCTATGCAGGTATGTATACACACTCATGCGCATCTTTCCGAGGGAGTAGAGCTCAGAGGCGATTATTGTGTCGTTCGCGATGTGTCTGGCCGTCTCGCTCTGGACGGACATTTTCAAAGTTCCGAACATTGGATATACGCTTCATGCAGATCGCGACACTGCGGTAAAAACGCAAGGGGTATTCAGTGGTTTAACATACATGCACAGATCGGTGCTTCTCACTATTTAGTCTCATCGCGTGTCGTCGCAACCCCATTGGTGATCTCATTATTTTTGATCTGAGCCTAGGCACGTACCTGCCAGTTGTAGATCTGCGTGCATGGACCCCTCCCCCGTGAAACCGTACCTCTGGGCGCCTTGGGCGTCTGGGCCTCCTGGACGTCCCCACAGAGCGTCCCCTCAGCCTTCTGGAACGCTTGGACGCCCTTGCCAGGCTCCGAAAACGAGCCGAAAACGGTCAGCAGGATGCCAAAACGGCCTCACGAGAGCCCCAAGCGGCCCCATAAACCGTCGAGACTCCTCATGACGACCCGAATGTCGCCACCTCACCATCCTTGGGAGGCTGCGAACTGCATCTTAATCGCCACTTTCGAGGGCTGGGGGGTCCAGCATAGTGGGGCCAGCGCGGGCTTCGTGGGGGCCAGCGCAGACCCATGTTAGATCTCACAGTTTTTGGTGGGTTCCTAACTCCGAAACCGTCGCCAATTTCGAGGGCTCCTGGGGGGAGCAGCGGAGTGACGTCTTACGGATATTCAGATTCGAATTCGCCATCCCTGGGGTTCTCTAGTGGTGGCGCGCCTGCGGGCGTTCAGTTTCGCGCAGGTGCACGACAAAAACGCAGAGGCTGGCAGTCGATCTAGACCTCGTTCGTTTCCCGCACAACGTACGAAGAACTAACCACTTGGGGTGCCAGGGCGAGATGGTGTCGGAGGCTCTGTTGAACAACGAGATTAGAAAAATTTGCGCCTTCAGCATTTGTTCTGTGACGGGATGTTCGCTGCAATCTCGACTTGATGCCTCCAGGATGCATTCGATTTTTCGGGGGGAGCTAGGGTCTTTGGCAGCCCTCGGGTCGGGGCTACTAGAGTCTTCGGCAGCCCTTAAGTCCCATCAGGGTCGGTGCGCAGTGCCAAGCAGTGTGGCACACACATCCGTGGAGGCAGTGACTTTCGCTGCTGCTACCGACGCCCCTGCTGATTTCGGCGCTCCGCGTGCAGCCATTTTGGCTTACGGGGATTTGCGAGAGCCCCCCGCCCGTGGCACCGGCGGCTGCTTGGCCACACTCTCGGTGTGGGGAACGAATGGCCCCGAGTGGCAGGGATTCGGTGCCTAGGGCTTTTATCAACCGAGCGATAGGCACCATGACCGTGGCGCAAAATCGCCGACGGCTCGTATCTACGAAGGATAGCGCCTAGGGCTTGTAGCTTGTTGAACCTTGATGCCTAAGCGCTGGAAGGACGTACCAGTCAGCATCCTTTCGCTCCGTGTTCAGTTTTCCTTCCCGCCTGCACTGGGGGCATCTGACGATCAGGAGCAACCGAGGCTTCTCCATGAAGATGTTTGGCGCTGGAGCAAATCGGCACCACCCGAATGGTGTGAATGTCGTCTCCGCATCACGGCTTCGTCGAGGCCCCCCACTTGCCCTGATGCCGGAATGCCAAAGGCCCACGTCGTCCTACCAAAGAATGGCAGGCTCGTGTCAAGTCGACGCGGCGGCGACGTGAGCGCACGTCGGACGCCACCAGTGGCCCCTGAATCGGCCGATATCGTGCGAGCGGCGCCATCGGAAAGCCGCGATCGCTCAGGGTCGAAGGATCCATGCAGCGTCAGGAGCCACAGCGCAAGGCGTCTCGACACGGACCAGCCGCAGGGACCCAGCCTTCGGGGCGGCCGCTTCTCCACCCCGACGCTCCCCCATGTCTGCCAGCAGCCGCGGCGGCAATGGTGCCGCGGCTTTCGGCCCCCCTGGTGTCAGCGCCAGGACTCTCTGCCTGTGCGCGGGGCCCCGCCCTCAGTTGCTCACCAGAGGGCGCTGCCTCCCCGCCCCCTGAGAATTCTCAGAGTTTTTCAGGGTTGTGGGCGGGGGTATGTGGTAGAGCATCGATGGGGTGAACCAGGATGCTGTCGATGCCGATCTTGGTCGTGATCCAGGCTGGCCGTCGCCGATTCGGGAGGAGGTTCTACGAACTGACGACCGAAATGGACGATTAGCAAAATCAGCACTCACGTTTTTGTGCTCAGTCTTGGTCATTGTTCTCGTTTTCTATCTCTCAAGGATGGGATTTGAGATCCAGCTCAGAATGGGTTTTAACGACTCAGTCTTGGTGTGCGGGATGCTCAGACTGCGCCCTGCACTGTCCCAAGAGCAGCCGGCCCCTCCCCCCACGCAGTCCCGAGCAGCCCGCGGCAGGCCAGTCGCAGCTCTTGCTCGTCGGACTCCCTCGTCGTCCCCCACGTCGAGGGATCTGCGGCCGACCTGGAGCACCGCAGAACCCGACTCGGCTGGACCAGAGGGGGCTTTCCTCGGTCCCCCCCCGCCGCCGCTCCCGCGCGGCGACCGCGGCCCCTCCCCCTGTGGGACGGCCCCCCGCCCGAGCGGGTCGGCCCGAGGCTGGGGCTACTCCGACGGCGCTCCCGGGCATCCCCCGAGATGGCGCTCTTCCAGTCCGTGGCCCCGTGGCTCGCAGTGGCACGCAAGCCGCGCTGCTGCTTTCCAGATTGCCCCCCGCCCCCTCCTCCTCCTCCTCCTCCTCCTGCTCCTCCTCCTCCTCCTCATTTTCCTTTTCCTTCTCCTCCTCCTCCTCCTTTTCCTTCTCCTCCTCCTCCTCCTCCTCCTCCTCCTCCTCCTCCTTCTCCTCCTCCTCCTCCTCCTCCTCCTCCTCCTCCTCCCCCTGGGCCGACCTTCTCGGTAAAGCCAGGCTCCCGCCTGGCCCCCACGGCTTCGGGCCCCTTCCCCGGGGATCCCTTCTCGGTCGCCCCCGGGGCTCGCGATGGGGCCTGCCGCGACGGACAGCGGCAGGTCGTCGAAGGTCTTGGGCTCCTTGGGGGAGGGGTTGCAGCAGGGGCTTCCGGGCGCCCGGCTTGTTCTCGAGCTCGGCTGTGGGCGCGCGTCCTTTTGGGTGCCTCTCGTTGACGGAGCCGGGGGCGGCAAAGAGGGGGGTGATTCGGGGCTCAAGAGACGGGGGTCAACGCAAAGGGGGTCAGCCAGAGCGCTGGATCTTCCAGGATCCTGCAGGGCCAGGGGCGCATTGATCCGGGTTTGGGTGCAGGATCCTGTAGGATCGTGCAGGATCCTGCAAAGCCTGACTGGCCCGGGTCCGGATTGACCCGGGTCAGCAGATCCCTATGAAGGGTGTGTGTGGATGTCATGGCAGGGGCCCTGATGTCGCCCCAGATCTTGTGGCGTCTCGTCTCGTTTCAATGCGTCCCCTGGCCCCCCCGCCCCCCGTGGGCCGCCCACGTGCCTCGGGCCATGATTTGCGCGCCCGCCTCTTGGACTCCCTCCTCTTGGACGTCCCCGACGGAGGTAGGGGCCATGGCCTCGCTGGCCTGGGGAAGGAGCGCCTCCTCGGGGTCAACCTCGGGGTGGCGCGCGCTCTGCTGGCTTCCGCTGTTTCTGCCGTGGCCCGCAGGGCGCGCGCGTCGGCCTGCCGACAAGCGCTTGGGCTGCGCTGGGGTGTTCTGAGGTTGCGGGCGCGGCGTCTCGAAAGCAGATGCGCTCCGTGTCTTGCCAGGACCTCAGCAGTCTCGCGAACCCTGTGACGAGAGCTTCGTCTGCATGTTAACTTCCTCTTGAGGTGTCATCGGTGGAGTTCAGCGATCGGAGGAGCCTCGCTGTATCCTGCCTTTTCAGGTGTCGTCAGTTCAGCTCAGCGATTGGAGGAGCCTCGCTGTGGCCTCGGACGTGAGAGATGGAGCATAGCTGGGGGCAGCGGGTGTGGGGGTGGCATCGGTGGTGGCAGTTTCTCTAAACGCTTCGCGTGCGCTCACCAGCCCATCCAGTGACCAGTGTCTCCCTCCTTTTGTGTCTCGTATCATGCTCTACGGCCCTGCCTGATGGGAGCTGGTGTCGCCTGGGCGCGTGCTGCCGGATCCGATGTGCTCGGGCGAACTGCCGCGTCCTCCGATGTGGTACATGTCATCTTCTTTGATGCGTTGCGGACGGGGGTGCGCAATGTCCATCGCCAACTTCGTAAGCTCTTGGAAGGGCCAGCGGAGTGTGGTCCTAAAAAGGTGGACATTCGACCTCCCCTCCCTTGTAGCTGCCAACTGCGCAACTGGAAGGAGGAAGGGGAGGAGGACGGAGAGGAGGAGGAGGAGGACGAGGAGGAGGAGGAGGAGGAGGAAGAGAAGGAGGAGGAGGAGGAAGAGGAGGGAGAAGAGGAGGAGGAGGAGGAGGAGGAGGAGGGAGAAGAGGAGGAGGAGGAGGAGGAGGAGTAAAAGGATAAATATGGAGGAAGGAAGAGAGGGAAGGGGGCGATGGGTTAGAAGGACGAGGAGGATTTAGGAGCAGGAGATAGAGGATCGTTTAGGATGGTGGTCATGACGATGATGATGACAATGACGATGACGATGACAATGCTGCTGCTGATGATGATAATGATGATGATGAGGAGAATGATGATGCTGTTGACGCTGATGTTGATGTTGAGGCTGTTGTTGTTGCTGTGGCTGTTGT